CTCCCTCCCTCCTCCTCCTGCCTCCTCCCTCCCCCCCCCCCTCCTCCTTCCCTCCTCCTCCTCACCTTGATGTGCCTGATCCCGCACGTCACCAGCACGTCGTCGACGGGGTTGAACCGTGCCTCCATGATCTTGTCGGTGTGTCCGGGGGAGGACGCGATCCGCGTTCCCTTCTTCCAGTCCCATATGGCGATCGAGTGATCCACGTCGAGCCCTACGGACGCGAGCTTCGTCCCGTCCTTGTTGAAGCTCATCGCCGCCACCCCGAGCTCATGGAACCCTCGCAGTGTCGACAGCGTCTGCATGCTCACGCTGCTCCACACGAGGATCACCGGCGACTTCCCCACCTGCCCGGACGCCACCAGCACCTTGTCGGGGTGCATGGCGAGGGAGATGACGTCATCAGTATGACCGGAGTAGAACACTTGCATGTGCCCCTCCTTGCGGTATACCACTCCCACCGCCCCCACCATGTAGACCAGGTTCCCTTCCTCGTTGTACATGAGGTTGTTCCGGCAGTCGTGCCCTCTATACCCGTACACGTGCTCGAGCTGCAGGCAGTTGTACGGGGCCTCGTCTGCGTCCATGGGCTTCCTCCAGTCCTTTCCCGCCTTCTTCTCCATCTCCCGAGGGTCCAGCTCGGCGTTGAGATCGACTCCGTTCTTGACGTTCATCTTGGTGGAGGACCTGCCCTTCACCACCTGCTCCTTCCCCGTCACCATCCTCTCCGACTTCACCATCAGCATCCCCGACTTGTCCACCTTCACCTCCGACTCTCCTCGACCGAAGCTCAGCCCCAGCTCGTTCTCCACGTCCGAGTCCACCTTGTCATCAGCTGCCGCCACCCTCTTCTCCATCTCCATCTCATCCTCATCATCTGACAGCTCCTGCTCAGCCTCGAGCAGCTTCCCCGACGACAGGTACCTCCACTGCACCACCAGCCCGTCCACTAGCCCGGAGGACAGCACGGTCTTCTCCTCGAAGGAGAACCTGACTTTGCCCACCCGCGCCGAGTGCCCCCCGTACCTCTTGCTCTTGGCTCCAGGGGTGATACAGGGGAACCGGAACAGCTTCAGCATCCCCCAGTCGTCTCCTGTCGCCAGCGTGTCCCCGAACGAGGAGCGACAGGTCGTGTTGATCCCCATGGGCCCCTGGAACTTGGACGCGATCCCTTGCACGGACCAACCCATCCTCGTCGTCCAAGAGGACCACTCGACGTCCCTCACCTCCGCCGCCACCAGGATCTCCTTGCTGCTCTCAACGTCCCAGTAAAGATGGTTGCCCCTCTCGTCGTCCGACTGGATCTGCTTCGAGTCTGCCGACCAGTCCAGCGCTAGGATGCTTCCCTTGTGTCCCGCGCACGTGCCGATCCACTCGTACTCCGATTGCACGTCGTAGATGTCGATGAAGCAGTCGCCTCCTCCTGCTGCCAGGAACTTCCCGTTGGCGCTGTACTTCACCTCCAGGATCGCCAGCTTCCTGTCCTTCCGCTCCAGGTGCGGCCTCATCGTCCGCAGCTTGAGGATCACCAGCTTCCCGTTCCGCAGCCCGCAGGCGATGTGGTTCCCATCCAGCGAGACGGACACCGAGCTCACCGCGTCTTCCAGCATCCGCATGCCGATCTGCTTCCGGCTGTCCATGTCCCACAGCCGCACCGAGTGGTCGTCCCCTCCAGTCACGAAGAGTCTCTTGGACGGATGCGTGGCGAGGCCGTTGACCTGCATCGAGCGATGGCCCTGCAGGAGGAGCTTAGGAGCTCCTGCCTCGATGTCGATCTCGAACAGCTCGTTGTCGATGGTGCCTACCAGGATCGTTCGCACCAGCCAGCAAACCGACCGCACCTTGCTGTTGTCCACCCCCGTCGACTGCGTCCGCATGTCGAACTCCACCAGCGGCTTCAGCGCCAGCGACCAGACCTTGACCATGCCGTCCTTCCCGCCGCTGCACAAGCCGTCGCGACAGACCCAGAGGGCGAAGACGGGGCCATGGTGAGCGTTGATGACAGAGTCGACATCGCCGTTCTTCCAGCGGTAAATCTCTCCTCGCTCGCTCCCCGTGAAGATTCTTCCCTTCTTTGACACCGTCAGCGAGCAGAACACCTGCTTCTTGTCTCCCTGCGTGAACTTCCCCTGCTGCCCCCTTAGCAAGCGTCCAGAGATGGTCCAGAACTTGATGTGTCCGACTCCAGCGCTGACCAGACTGTCGTCGCTCGGGTTGAAGGCGATACAGAAGATCCTGTTCACGTGCCCCGTCGCTGACGCTCGCTTCTGTCCGGTCTTCCAGTCCCACACGGCGATGCTGTGGTCCACATCCATCCCAACAGACGCCAGCAGCGAGCCGTCCGAGTTGAAACTGACCGAGCAGATGCCGTAGTCGTGGAAGCCTCGGATCACCGACAGCGTCTGCATCGTGTACGTGTTCCACACGCACAGCAACGCCTTCCTGCCCACCTGCCCTGTGGCTGCAGTGATAAAGTCGGGGTGGAGGGAGAGGCAGATCACGTCGTCGGTGTGCCCGTTGAAGAACTTCTGCGTGTGCTGGATCGGGTTGTACACGACCCCAGTCGCTCCCGCCAGGAAGACGATGTGCCCATGGCCCGTGTACTGCGCACAATTCCTCGTGTCGTGCATGCGGGCCCCGTAGATGAACTCCATCTGCAGGCCCCCCAGCGGCGGCTCGTCCGCGTCGTCAGGCTTCCTGTACTTGGTGGGAGGAACCGCCATGGTCTGCGGCTTGAGCACGAAGAGCGGCTCGCCGGTGACAGGGAACCCGTCTTCGTCCACCTCTCGCTCCTCTGCACTCACTGAAGTCTGAGGGCCTCGATGGTATCTCATCTTCCTCTCCCGCTCCAAGTCAGAGTCGTAGGCCTCAGCCACCTCCTCAAACCCCTCCTCCAGGTCCGGGAGCTGCTCGGGTATCCCCGGCTTCTCAGGCGCCATGTTGGGCTTGGGAGCCTTCTCCTCCTCCCCGCCCTCCTCCTTCTCCTCCTGGCTTGACAGGTTTCCTCGCACGCCCTCCTTCCCCCGCTGCTTCATCTCCTTCTTCGGTATATCCTTGCCGGGGTCCATGATCGGCACTCGCTCGGCCTCGAGGCGGGACAGGCGCTTGTCGATCCTCGACTGCTCGTAGACGTCCTTCCTCCGGTCTATCGCCACGTCCATGTTCTCCAGCGTCTTGAGGGTCTCCGAGTCCAGCGCGTCGTACCCCACGTCCCTGTCTGACGTCACCCGCCACTGGTACACGCAGCGATCCTCTGACCCGCACGAGATCACAAACGTGTCATCGCACGTGAACCTCACGCACATCACTGTTCCCACATGCCCCGAGCACATGTTCGCCTCCGCCCCCTGCACGATGCAGGGGAACCGGAACAGCCGCACCATGGCGTCTGTGTTCCCGGAGGCCAGCAGGTGACCGGACAGGGAGCGGCTGCAGCTCGTGTTGGCCAGCCCTGTGCCCACGAGGCCCTGGACGGACCAGCCTACGGTGCTGGAGTAAGAGTCCCACTCGATGTCACAAGTTTCCTCGAAGCCGGGGATGAGAGTTTGTTCCTCAACGTTCCAGAACAAGAGGTCCTGCTCTGACCCGCAGCTCTGCAGGAACCTCGAGTCGATCGACCAGTCCAGGTGCAGCACAGAAGCCGCATGTCCTTGCAGCGTCGCGACCCAGTCGTAGTCTGACGCGCAGTCGTAGAGGTCAACCATCGAGTCTTCCGACCCAACAGCCAGGTATCGTCCGCTCGGGGCGAACTTGACGCAGAAGATTGACTTCTTTCGATCCTTGGACGTGATCACCTCGTCCAACGAGTCTACCCGATGGACCGACCACGATCCCAGCGCATGTCCAGCTGCGATCACCTTGCCGTCGGGGGAGAAGCAGAGCGACTTGATGGGGTGATCCAGCATCTTCTTCTTCCACAGAACCTTGTCCACCAAGTTCCAGAAGCGCAGGTACCTGTCAGCTCCTCCAGACGCGTACAACGGCTTCGTGGGATGACACGCCACGGCCTCCACGGCTCCTCCCATGTGCCCTTCGATGACGACCTGAGCCTCCCCAGTGTCCTGGTCCAGGTCAAGTATGCTGCACGTGTGGGTACCCACGAGGATCCTGCCCTGCCGCTGGTCGACCGACTTGACGATCACGTCCTGCTGCAGGACGGCAGAGATGTCGAATGAGTTCAGGGGCTCGAGGTCGTTGCTCCATACCCTGACCTTGCCATCCTTGCCTCCGCTGCAGAAGCCGTTGACGAACGTGACAATAGCATGGACGCTGCTGCGGTGAGCAGAGACGATCATGTCTATCTGCTCCTCTCTCTTCCACAGGTAGATGTTCCCGATGTCGCTGCCTGTCAAACACAGCCCCTCCACTGCGTTGCGGATGGTGGTGGTCAGAGAGAACTCAGTCTTAGTGAAGGCAGCGCACAGCATGGACGGCGACATTCCCTGGGTGGCCAAGTTTGAGATCGTGAACAGCCCGGGCAGGTGCTCCAGCACTCGCTGTCCTGTCCTGCTCAGCCCGATGCGCAGGAACTCGATCATGTTCACCCCACACGCCACGAGCACGTCATCCCTTGGGTTGAAGGCTAGGGCGATGATCTTGGGAGTCTTCAGAGTCTGAGAGCAGATGGGAGAGGTCTTCTTGTCGTTCTTCCAGTCCCACACAGACACGGTTCTCCCTGTCTTCTCCATCCCCGCCGACGCCAACCTCTTCCCGTCCTTGCTGAAGGCTAGCGCCGAGATCCCGCCCTCGTGGACCCCCGACAGATCCTTGAGTGTAGCCAAAGTGCTCAGGTCCCAGATCAGGATGTGAGGCGCCAGCGCGAACTCTCCTGTAGCTACAATGGAGCCTGCCGGGTGCATCGCCATGCTCATTACCTCCTTCATGCTCCTGTTCGGAGGGCCGGAGTAGTGCTTCTGTCTTCGGCTCGATGGCTCCAGTACCACCCCGAGCGATCCAACGAAGTAGGCGACCTCGTCTGCGATGGTGAAGAAGACGTTGTTGTTGCAGTCCCATCCCCGATACCCATGCACGAAGTCCAACGTGATCGCCTCCTCGGGCTTGTACTCGCACTTTTCGTCCGGAACGAAGTCCTGGGGAGGAAGCACCAGCGACGTCCACTGCAAAGCCTCATTCCTTGCACGATCCTGAATGGCGAGCCTCTTGTGGTCGTCATCCCCTTCTTGCTCCGCTAGTAGCTTCTCCTCTCGCTCGAGCTGTCGTTCAAGATCGGAATCGTACGCCCCCTCATCGTCAGAGCCATCGCTAACAACCTCCTCCATCTTGGCTTGTTGTTTCATCAAAGCCTTCTTGTCCGCTCCAATCATCGCCTGGGGCATGTTGGAGGCAGCTGTCTTGTCCTTGCCTGCTCCCTTACCTCCTCCTCCTCCTCCTCCTCCTCCAGCTGCTGCTGGAGGAGGAGGAGCATCGTCTTTCTTCAACCTGCTCCCCCCTCCACCCATTTCCCGCCAGCACCACCCTACCCTCAAAATGCCAAATCACCGCCACCCTACTATTTGCATAGGTACCCGTACAAACAACGTAAGAAATGCAGGGTTATACCTACCAAGACTAACCCCCCTACCCCATTCATTGGTCCTGGTACCCCCTCCCCCCTCCCTCCGACCCGACCAAACTTTCTACGTCTAGGATTGCTGAGTGAAAACACCAACTAGCAGACTGAGGAGTGAGGCGAAGAGAGTCGAGACAGCAGGGAGGGAGGGAGAGGGAGGGAGTTGAGCCATCAAAGCAAGTCCGTGAAACATGTCGAACGATCAACGGGCACCATACAAGAATTTCATTCTCTCGTTCATTCATTTAGGATTTTTTTTGTTACACTATGCATCCTAAGTCAGCGGAATGAGGACGTTTCGTCATTATTTCGAACAATCTCATTCCTTCAACAACTTTCGCATCGATGGGCAATCGGGATCCTGTCCTTCTACACTGATCTTCTAATGAAGGATCGGACTGAGTGTCATATAGCAAGCAAGGAATCAGCTCCGAACCAGGGTCTCCGAGAGCCAGTCGCAAGGCTGCAGCTCAACGGCTGGCAGGGAGAGGAAGTGGCTGATCCTGTCTGGGTCCAGCATCCACTGCTCCGCACCTGCTCGCGAGAACGCGTGGTCAACTACCGGAGGCCTGTAGGGTCTCTCTGGCCAGTACGATGAGGCCCCCGTCTGGGCGGCAGTGGCAGAGCATGGGACAGCGTTGGCTTCGGGCACTTCCATAGAAGGAGAGGGAGAAGGAGAGGGAGAGGGAGAGGGAGAGGGAGAGGGAGAGGGAGAGGGAGAGGAGCCTGAGGCTTGCGGCTGTGCTTTCATGGCGTCACCAAACGAGTCGGCGGCATCCGGTACCCTGGGCTCGTTGCTGGTGCTCAGACTCGCGTTGCTGTTCCTCCGCTTCCTCGGCTTTGTGTCTTTGGAGCCAAGAGGTCGCCCCGCCTTCTTGCCGGTCTGAGCTGGAGGTTTTGGTGCTGCTGCCTCCATGGCTTTCCTCACGGAGTACTCAAACTTCTCCTCCTCGCTCCAGAGCTCGAACGTCGCTGTCGTCCACGTCCGTTTGTTCCAGATGTCTCTTATCGCTTTCGGACTGATGGCATACTTCTCGGCAAGTTGTACGCTCGCTACCGTGGGGGACCAGGCGCGGCCACTGCAGAGATGCTCTTGAGCATACTTGTAGATGTCCCGAGCATCGTTGACACTGAGGAAGGCTCGTGCGGCGCGCGAGGGGTCGAATTCACAATTCATGACGTTCCGTCGAGGAGGGTGTGAGATGAGATTGTCGATGTTGGCAACCTGGAGACAAGGAAGAGAGGTATGGCTCGTTCAGTTATGTGCAACTGAGTTGAGGAGAGCGTTCATGCGTGAGGAAGGCAGCTGTTAGTGTCTGATGTCATCTGGCCCACAATTTGCACGATGAGGCCTAGGTATCACGGGAATAGGAGGAGGAGGAGGAGGATGATGATGATGATGATGAGTTGGTAGTGGTGGTGGTAGAGCAGGGAGGGGCAAAGGAGGATGAAGCGGTGTTGCAGATGTGTACACGGCAACGTGACGGGTTGGGGGGGTGTCTTTCAAGTAGCATGCTTCTTTAAACTCTGACTACCCCACTTACCGGTGTGAATTACCAATGATCTCAATATCTTTGGGGGTGGTATCCGTGAATGCAGCTCCGGGGAACTTTCATCGTTTCGGTCAAAGGATCCGAAGGGACCAAAAACAGATCACCCCTTCACCCCCAATTTGAACTACATCGGACCCCTCCAATGGTCACGAGGTCAACCAAGGGTTGTTGTCACGGGACGAGATCCGACTTCTGGATCCTTCCAGAAACGTCGCGTGAGCAGTGGATCTCAAGGCTCAGGTGGTCATGGGTGGAGGTCACGGTCATGAGGCCGGCCGCAAACCGTGACCTCCCTCGTGACAGAAAAAGAAAGAAAATAATGGGCACCAAGAGGTCGAAAGATAATTGAATTGAGCATGAGACTGCCGCTGCTAGGAGGCGTGCGATACCCTGTGCGGTAGAGGCATGTAGACCCCATGCTAGTCTGTGCGGTACAGGCATGTAGACCCCGTGCTAGTCTGTGCGGTACAGGCATGTAGACCCCATGCTAGTCTGTGCGGTACAGGCATGTAGACCCCATGCTAGTCTGTGCGGTACAGGCATGTAGACCCCATGCTAGTCTGTGCGGTACAGGCATGTAGAACCCATGCTAGCATGTGCGGTACAGGCATGTAGACCCCATGCTAGCATGTGCGGTACAGGCATGTAGACCCCATGCTAGTCTGTGCGGTACAGGCATGTAGACCCCATGCTAGTCTGTGCGGTACAGGCATGTAGACCCCATGCTAGCATGTGCGGTACAGGCATGTAGACCCCATGCTAGCATGTGCGGTACAGGCATGTAGACCCCATGCTAGTCTGTGCGGTACAGGCATGTAGACCCCATGCTAGCATGTGCGGTACAGGCATGTAGAACCCATGCTAGTCTGTGCGGTACAGGCATGTAGAACCCATGCTAGTCTGTGCGGTACAGCGCAAGACTCGTGCTAGGATACAGTTGAAGCATCGGAACAAAGAGAGTCATGCATGACATCTCGAGCTCTGTGTTGTCTCGTGAAGGGAATGATCCCTCTTCTAGTATGACTGATTGGGGATGGGGTTGCAATTACGGCATCTCATGATTCGTTGATGAAGGATTCGTAAAGTGCTATTGTCGTTCATTTTGAATAAAACAATGCAGCTTGTCAGTGCCATAAACACTTTGACATTTTCAACCTCTTCCTGCCATGTTTATCGCATAATCATTTGGCCCGGTGCGGCGAGTCAGTGACCTTCCAAGTTCCAATGGTCCGCCGTCACTTGCTGATAGCCCGTAGCTAGTTGCAGGGCTCCCAGCAGGGCCGAGGCCTGGAAGGCTCACAGCAGAACTCTCTGTTATCTCCATCGTCAGAAACAGCTTCATCATCATAATATCAATCTTCTTCTTCTCGTTCTTCTTCTTCTTCTTGTTCTTGTTCTTCTTCTTCTTCTTCTTCTTCTTCTTCTTGTTCTTGTTCTTCTTCTTCTTCACCATCATCTTCACCATCATCTTCTTCACCATCATCATCATCATCATCATCATCATCTGTAAACCCCAATAATCGAACTCGCACGACACAAGTTTGTAGGCGCACATCACAGGGTCCACTCGTTCTTGCCATCCTCTTTCTAGCGGACCTCGTCCAGTTCTCTGCGACCTAAACCTGAGCTCCATCAGATTCCACAGCTTCCCATGCCAGCACCACCTTGCAGGGTCGTTATCAGCGCCATCGTACATCTTCGAGTCCTCTTTCCGCTTCTCAGCGATATCAATGTTGACTACTTCAAGCTTCTTCATTTGCTCCGAGCTGAGCTTGTGCACATTCGCTTCCTTGCCTCTGTCGCCTCGATGAATCGTCTCGATGGTGATCTTGAACTTGCTGAACGGAGGAAAGGTGACTTGTGTCAGCGTCTGTCAGCTAGTTAGCAACTTCGAATGCCCTGCGCATGCGAGCATACATGCGGGTAACTGTTGTAACTCTCCTCTGCCAAGCAGCTGCCGCTTTCAGGCGCGATCATCCTTGAGTGATGTCAAGTGAAGAGACGAGAGAAGAGACGAGAGAAGAGAAGAGAGAAGAGAAGAGAGAAGAGACGAGAGAAGAGACGAGAGATGTGTCAGGCACCTTGGATGCGTTACCGGGTTGTTTTCTAAAATTTCATCGCCGAATTACTCGACACGCGGCAGTCAGTTGTTCTGCCCTGACTGCCTTCCGAGTTCCAGCAGGCCGCTTTCCGGAGTCCAGCAGGCTTCCAGCAGGCTTCCAGTGACTGGAAGGGGTTGAGGGGGGATGAGGGGCTGAAATTTCAACAAAGTCGGAGCATGGGTTCAGATGATGGCAGCACGAGGAGGAGGAGGAGGAGGAGGAGGAGGAGGAGGAGGAGTGCACGGGATGTAGACAGTGTAAGGTCGAAGCACGAAGTATGCTGTCAAGTGCAGAGGAGAGATTCGTCTCGTTCGCCATTGTGACATCGACGCTTCACAGGCTCGACATGGGCGCAACAGCCTCTGTCATCGTCGTCGTCACACGCCCTCCTGTGCGCTGCCTCCAGCTCCTCTTGTCCGCTACATGCTCACTCAGACGCATGCAGAACACGCCGGGGGGTCTCATAGTCCATTCGCATGCTCGATCTTCGAGACAGGTGCGTGTTTGTGCTTGCGTTCACGGAGAGGTTGATGGGTCGTTTGCAGTTGCTGTTTCCGCTGTCACTCATCACGAATGGTCTGTCAATGACAACTCATCCTCGTTGCTGATCCCTCCTACAGAGATTCTCTCCTCTCAGAGCCCGTCAGGATCCTCAGACAGGATCGGCAGGATGCTGCAGCTGCTGGTCCGATGAGCAGGATGGTGCGAGCAGGGTCATAACATGCATGGCAGGACGAGGCGATCCGCGTCCTCGGACAGACTGAAGTTCCTTCCAGGGTTGTTGACGATGATCCTCTGTCTCTTGCACGTCCTGCTCCCCCTCTTCCATCCCCTTCCCCAGCTCTCCCGCCCCACTACCTACCTCCTTCCCGCTGATTCCTCGCACGGAATTGATCGCGTTCCACAGCCGACGGCGAGCAAGGAGATCGTCGATGCGCTGTCTACATCTATGGTGAGACGATTGCGCGACAGTTGTCTTGCAACTCTGAGAGTTGTCTGACAGATTGAAGAACATGACAGTGAGAGGTCCTTGTTGTGGTTTGTTGTTGCCAACTCATGAGCAATCCTTCAGAGAGTGTTACATCTGTTTGAGTTGCCTTGCACAAGGAGATGTTGTGGTGAGTGTTTGAGTGCTCAGAAGCTCTCTTGTACTTCTCCTACTTCTGCCTCATCTTACTGCTCGCTTTCTCCCTCCCTCCCTCCCTCCCTTCCCCCTCCTTCTCTCTTCAGAGGACTCTTCCTTGCGGTCACTTCTTCCACGTCTCCTGCATCGACAAGTGGCTCCTTGAGGTGCTCTGATCGCCCATCAAGTTCCTCCTGATCCTCTCCAAGATGCACTCGACGTGCCCCATGTGCAGATTTGACGTCTGCGCCTCCTCCTCCTCCTCCTCCTCCTCCTCCTCCTCCTCCTCCTCCTCCTCAACAACAACAACAACAACAACAACAACAACAACAACAACAACAACAACATCATCATCATCATCATCATCATCATCAACAACAACAGCGACAGCAACTTTGGGATTATCAACAACAGCAAGGAGAAGTGAAAGTAAGATTGTTGTCTAGTGTTGCTCGGCTGTCTTTCCTGTCTCATGCTCATGTGTCAGGGTCGAGGGTGTCGGTAAGCGAAGAAAGGAAGGCGGAGGGGATGGGGGGCACAGATGGGGGAGGAGGTGCGGGGGGTTGGAGGAGATGCAGAGTGAAGAGGAGGAAGAGGAAGGGTTGGCTCATGTCTGGCACTGGCAGGAACAACCGTCTCCACCACATCATCAAGGTCTTGTGCCTTGTCTTGATTCGAGCTGATGCTGACATGCTTGCGATTCAGGCGTGCGTGTACCACTCTGCCTCCCTGTTCCTCTTTTCCCTCTACCCTCCTGCTCTTGTCTTCCCTCTACCCTCCTTTTCTTGTCTTCCCTGTGTTCCCCTTCGTTTCTTCTTACCTCCACGTCCAGCTCTCTTCAACCTCCCGGTCGAGCGACAGCAGAGGCAACATGATGTTTCCTTGGCTCGCGGTGAGACTGGTGGAGGAGGAAAGATGAGAAGGGAGAGGAAAGAGGGAGATCAAGAGGGAAGGAGAGAGGCAGAGGGAGGGACAGCAACAGGGATGAAGGAAGGGAGAGGGAGAGGGAATAAGAGGGAGGGGAGGGAGAATGGAGATAATTAAGATGTTCCAATTACCAGGCTGAGAGGCCGGCGGCTCGGGGGCTTCAAAGGATGGTCTGTGCGCAGGTACTGGAGGGAGGAAACGTCAACCGCATCCCCTGATGATGCGCAGCCCGTAGACGAGACGAGACTCATGCAAGCTGCAGCCAAAGGAGACGTAAGAAGAGGAAGCAATGAAGCGGGGAGCGGGGGTTGGGATAAGATGGGGGAGACGGTTGAGCAGGGGCAGGGGCAGGGGCAGGGGCAGGGGCAGGGGCAGGGGCAGGGGCAGGGGCAGGGGCAGGAGGACCTTACGGGAGGCTGGAGCAGGCCCATCTCGTTGACCGTCTCGTCCGGTCCGGCGTCTCCGTCAACTGTCAGGTCTGTGAGGTCTGAGGGAAACGCTTCCTCTCAGTGTCTACAGGACTTGAACAGCTTCACTCCACTCCATTACGCCGCAGGCAGCAGCCAGCTTCCCACTATCAAGGTCTCCTCTCTCCTCCTCCTCCTCCTTGAAGACTGATCCAGACTTGCCTGCCCTCTTTTGCATCTCCTCCTTCTCGTCCTCCGTCCTCCGTCCTCCGTCTGCTCCTCGCTCATCCCCTTGCTCTCGCATCTCTTTCCTCCAGGTTCTCCTCGACTTCGGTGCTGATCGGAGCTTGTGCGACTCGTACGGTCGAACGGTCCGCGTCCTTCCACTCGCTTCCACTCGCTCATCTCTCTCTTCATGCTCCTCCTCCCCCGCCCCTTTCTTTGGCCCTCACCCTGAAGTCACGCCATGGCAGCCGCTCGAGTACGCTCATCGAATGGGCCAATGGGAGGTGACGCTGCAAGGATCGAAGAATCAAGTTGACGATTGTCGCAGGCTGAAAGACTTCTGCGAGGATGAGAGGAGGGGATAGACGTGGCGAGACGAGGCGAGGAGAGCAGAAGAGAAGAGGAGAGGAGAGGATGGGAGGGAACTGAGGCGACAGAAGGGACTGTAGATAACTTGCATAATAACAGCGCGAAAACCTGGACAGCAGCCAACATGACGAAGGAGGGCACGGGGAAACAATGGGAGAGTAGGAGAGAAGACGGCGGTTGGAAATTGCAAATCAATCCAGATGCAAACAGGAGAGGAGGAGAATGAGGGATAGAAAGGAGTAGCTTAGTCATGAGATTTAAATTTCAAATGTCATGCTGACAATAAACATGAGAAGGCCCTGTTAGCCTTCTACCTACAAACTCCACATGAGGAGTATCTTAACAATCCTGTAAGAACGTGTCAGAAGCATCAACTGCCATAGCTGCCCTCCTTGACCATCCCACATGTTTGTCTCTTGTCTCCCTCTTCTCTCTCTCCCTTCCTCTCGTAGACTTCCCTCTCTCATCAACATCATTCATCGTGCTGTGACAAGTCACGAGCAAGGATGAGTTCAGCGTGTACATCCAAACTCATTCACCAGATAAACTGCAGCAGTGCTGTAGGATATCTTTGCGGTCTGAGGTTTAGAAGACAGCTCACCTTCTAGCAAGGATTTTCAACACATTCATCATGTACAGTCCTGCCGAACCACTCTCAACAAAAAGATACACCATAACCAACAGCACATCCAAACTCGCTCGCCAACTACACGTGACGTCTTACCGACGGGGCGGTCGTGTTCCAGCCATCGTTGAAGGCGTTGAGCTCACGAGCACAGTGGAAGATGTGATGAGCTGAAGGGACCTGAAGACAAGGAGACTCACATCGACGCCCCACCTCCTCTCCCGCCTCCTTCAAGTTCTCTCTTGATCCCCTCCCCTCCCCTCCCCCCACACTCTCCTCTCCTCTAGCCTCCTACTCTCCTCCTCTTCCCCTCTCCTCTAGCCTCCTACTCTCCTCCCTTCCCCCTCCCTTCTTGACCTCTACCTTGAGCTTGTCGAGGTCAACATGGGTGGAGTAACCGTAAGCCTTGGCCTCTACTCCAAAGTATCCGCGAGCGTGCGGCTTCGCCATCTGCTTCAACGCCGTGAGCATCCTTGGATTGCCTGCGAGCTTCTGCGAGTCAGTCCAGCTGCTGTCGTAACGGAACATCCGTTGTCACAAGAGAAGGGAGGAGGATGATAGCAGAGCAAACAGAGCAGGAACAAGGAGATTGATGTTCAAAAAACATCAATGATTACAGCATGGAATGACGTCACGAACAACAGGTGACAGAATGACTTTCGTAAATCCCATCTCAATAGCTCTCAACACAAAAGTTCTCATATGTTTGGGAGCTGGCACGAGTAGAGAGGTTGAGAAAGAGGTACGTACGCGAATGAGAAAGAATGATGGAGTTAAAGAGTGAATAAGAGGTGAACGCGAGCACACAACAGTGACTTGGTGGTGATTGAGAGATAGTGATCATGACTATGAATGTAAAGAAGAAGAAATAATGGTTGTGGTGACAGTGAACGTGACGGTAACGATGATGATGACGATGTAAATGAAGACGTAAATGATGTAAATGATATGGAGATGATAATGTTCATGGTGGTAGTGGTGGTAGTGGAGGAGGAGATGATAATGTTGATGGTGGTGGTGGTGGAGGAGGAGGAGGAGGAGATGATAATGTTGATGGTAGTTATGATGATGATGTTGATGGTGGTTATGATGACGTCGTAATGTCGTCATGATGGAGAAAGTGATGATAATAGGAAAGATGATGATGTCGTCGTCAGGATGGAGAAAGTGATGATAACAGTAACAATGATGATGTTGTCTTCATGATGGAGAAGAGAGGGGAGGAACTTCAGCTGTCTCTGTTGCCGCTTCCATGAAGCATGCAAGGTGCCGCCAGGCATTTCCGAACCACCGAAGAGGCACGACCGTTACTTACCGATGGCCAAAAGTAACCGTCCTGTCTTGCGGAAACCCCAGGACGAATTGAACCGTGCAACCGTCTTTGTAACCGTCAAAAACCGTTGGATACCCGCCGGCCATCCGACATGATGATTAGGATCCGGGCCCGGCCGTAACGGCGGTTACCCGGGGTGCAACTACTGAGTCTCCCACACGACTCGACTCGATGTTTTACTCAAAGTTAAGTTAAAAAGCAGTACTCGATGATGATCGGCGCCCGACCCGGCCCCAGAGGCCTGTCACTCCGAAGGCGGCTGCCGGGGCGCCGCACTGGCAGCGGCAGTGAAGTTATCATCCGAGTTATCAACGGTTGCCAGCTCACGACGAGTATCAACAGTTAGTCTTCATTCAAAATAAAATATTCGTCAAGGACCAATCACTCTATTAACAGGGACCATGTGATGGCCCGGCGAAGACGACCGAGTGTTCACTCCTCATCTTCCTTGGAATCTGCTTCCTCCTGCAGAAAAGATCAGTCTGAGACATTGTTTACATCTTTGATAGGCTGGCACTGACCTTCGAGCTGTCAGAGTCCACTGACTTCTTCGACTTTGCCGATGCAGACGAAGTTTCTACAAGATCTTTCAGTCGCTGATAAAGATTCGGGAAACAACACTGACCGGGAGCAGGAGTCTCCTTCGACTCATCAGCCGAACTCTTCCTGTTCTCTTGCTGAATTGCCTTAGAGGAAGGAGCCTGAGAAGGAAGTGAGAAGACAGCCTCCACGTCAGTCCCACGACAGTGCTCACCGAGTTCAACGAGAGGAGCCTGCCGAGCAGTGGAGCCAAATGCTTTTCAAATTGCGAAACGGTGACATTCCTGATCTTGGCTGTGAGGGGATATTTCAAGAGCACAGAGTCCGTGCTCTTGACAACAGCCAAGGCCCTTGTCTGAGCGCTCTCGACCAATGGTTGGATTCGTGCTTGATGGAAGTTGTTCACACTCTTGCAGGTGGCAATGTAGGTGTTGCTGATCCTCAACTGCGAAACAGAGAGTCAGTGAGAGACGAGATCGGCAGAGCTCTGAGATGGAAGGGAGTCCAAGAACACTGACCTTCGCACCCTTGACGGTGTCCGAAAGGATTCTCTTGAAGGTTTGAGGAGAGGTCTTGACCGCGAGCATGGCTGATCGTGCAGCAGCGAGTCCTCGTTTCTTACCACGAGTCATGACCTTCTTCGTCAACACGATGGGTCCTTTTGCCACAATCTTGTCGTCGTCAGGAAGGTACTTGTCAACAAATCCATCCAAGGCAGAGAAGATATTGCTGTAGGTTTTGGTGGCCTGGCGCTTCACATTGGAGGGCCGAGCTGTGTCCACCACCCAGGAGGCAGCCTTGTGGACCCTGTTCTTCACGGCTATGACCCTACGACCAGTCCTACGAGAGACCTTCAACGTGATCCCGACTGGGGACTTCTTGAGGTCCTTGTCCAGCTGTTGGTCCTTCTCAGGCAGGAAGTAATCTACTTGGCGGTCAGCGAAGGTCATGGTTGCCTCGTACGTCTTGGCGGGCTGTGGATACCAGATCAGAGAGACACAAGGCAAACGCTCTGGGCTTACCGCATTGACAATGGTGGAGGTGGTGGTAGCAATGCCAGAGGAAACAGCATTGGTGGCCGGAACTATCCTCTTCTCGATGACAGGCTGGACCTTGGTCGAATATGTGGTCTTGACAAAGGCATGGGTCGATTTGTATGCATGAGTGTTCATAGCTTTGTCGATGGTCTGGTCGGCAATCGTGAGAGCGTGATCACCGGCTTTCAATGCCGCCTGTAAGAGTAAAACGTAAGGGCAGAAAAATAAGTGGAATCGTAGACTTCGCGATACCTTGGCCAGGTTTGTATCGGCAACATACAGTACGGGCTGTTCTACACGTTCAACAGTCCACTTGAGGTATCCAGGTTTGCTTTTGAGGTTATCAACAGTACTTTTACCGCGAGAAATCGCAGCATCCACCAACTCTGAATGAAATGTTGTGAGCGAGAATAGCAAAGCAATAACGATCAGGAAATGATTCAGGAGAAAATGAAAGCAAAACTACTCATGAGGCATATACAAACACGTAAAAAAAAAAAGACGTAATCATCATCAACATAAACTGACTTGCACAACAGAAAAATGTGAAATACAGTATTGAAAGCATAGAATTGATCAACGATGAGATATGATCGTGGATCTGCCAAAACTGACTTGCAACAACCATGACAGGAAACAGAAGGAACCGAAGAACGTGAGCTGAGAAATAAAAACAGAGACGGTACAGGGACAAGTTGAGAAAAGAGAAGGAGAAGCAAGGGAAAGGGCGGGTGGGAAAAGCCTTACGATGGGCGAGCATGGCGGGCATGGCGACCTTGACGGAGTCGGTAGGGTTCGGTTTTGTTGGGTTTGTGGTAGGAGAAAGGGTGGGTAGTATGTGTAAACCAGGGGGTAGGGGGTGCTTCCTTGGGATCCAGCGATACGATAGCTGTTCATCGATGGGGTACTCAAAGGGTCTTGGGGGGGTAGAGAAAACGTCCAGGATCAAAACGATCATGGCAAAGGGGTAGTTTCGGAAACAGGGGTAGTAATTGGAGGGACTGGGGGTAGTCGGCCTTTAAGAGGAGGGGTATGTTAAAACTTCGATTATAAAATGATCCGTTGCGATCCGTTGAGTCCATATGCTTTTGAAAAGTTTAAATTTGGCTGAATATTTTGAAATATTAGTGAACAATTTGAATTTGTGATGAAAACAAACCCTACAATTCTGGGGGCCTCCAAGTAAAGAAAAGGGGATCTTTAAATTACTAAAACCCCGAAAAAAAATAGTTTTTGAAGTGAAAACCAGCTGTTTTAAAAAACAAGATGTCAAGATGCGTACCATATATAATCAAAAAACCTTTATAATTGAATGAAGGATGTCAAAAATAGTTTTAATTTAGTTTGTGTAGCATGAGTTACAATGTTGTTGACCCCAATTTTAAATTCAAGGACATCAGGTGTACCACATCAGTTATATAGATACTTTGAGATTTTATGTGTTAAAACAATTTTTAAAAACAGATTCTACTCCGACAAAATTGTTTGCGGTGCGACGGTGAGATGAAGCGGTGCGGAGGGAGAGGATGGGGATGGATAGCCAGAGAGGGTGTGGAGATGGAGAAGAATTACGATAGATTGATCCTAAACTTATCATGGTGTCAAGCACCATGAATCATCTGAAGAACCAGAGAAGATTTTGTTGAGATTGCACCTTTGAAACGAGAGTCATGCTCTAGAACTGTATAAGAGCAAGCAGTTCAAACCATTCTCAGGTACTTCATGAGGTAATACTCTCCTCTGTCGATTATCTGCTATTAAGTAGTCATCGTGGTGCACACATTTAGGATAGTGCCTTCACTTCTCTAGGAGGATAGAGCAGAAGCGGACAATCTGTGCAATTCAAACTCTTCAAAGTTGGTATTTCACAGAGTTGCTGCAACGCAAAAGAATCAATTACTTATTCTTTGCCATGACTCTCGTCACCTTCACAGCAATCTTTCTCAGCTTTGCATTGCATGACACGTTGAGGTGCTCGAGGCCGCTTTCTCGAAGAGATATGGCAGCTGCGAACAATGTGTTATTTGTTGGAACGAAAGCAAGAGAATCTCATCGAGTGTACCTGACTTGGTGATTTGATCTGCACAAATTGACACAGGAATGCTCATCCATTCTGCATTTGCAGCTGGACTGATGGTTGAAAGGTTAAACGACGGACACTTCCAGTACTGACTCAGTTTGCCTGGCATCCAACGACTTGTCTTCAGAGAAGCATCCTGCAATGTATAGTCATCGCATCACTTCCATAAAGCTAGAATAACTTTACTTTGTATCTGGTCTTGAAGAGAATGACAAAGTTCCTGTGATCCTTGATGTGAGGTGAACGCCAACCAGGTTGCACGAACCGGGTCATCAAGGCAGAGAAAGATGTTTGCGAAAATTTTGTCCAATTTCCTCTTGTATGTTGGCTCCAAGACATTCTTGTCAACCTCAATCATTCAAGAATGCAGAGAGATAAAGATTGGGGCTCGTACCCTCGCATTCTCCAGGATGACAATGGCTTGCTTCAGGTTCCTCCTATGCCCTTCCAAAGCTTCTGCAATTTCCTGACATCGCATCACCTTACTACAACCCCTTCCCACACCTATGTCTCCCTCTTTCATCACCTTCTTGAATTTCTTCTCATCTGTCCGCCTTTTGCAGCACAAAGCGCATGATATATCATCTTGTAATCTCTTGCAGATGCAGCACTGCACATTAATGGCATGTTCAGAACAAGACGACGTCCTTGCATCGTGAGCTTGCTTTACCATCTGAACCATTTCCATCTCACAACTCCATCATTCAAGACGAGTCAACAACTCACCCTCTCTCCCACCTCGGGCTTCGTGTACGTCATGATTGTTGAGCAAGTCAGCACATTGTTGAACATAGCACTTCCCTCTCCTTACCCCCTACAAATGGAAAACAATAGAATTCCCAGTCACCAAGAAAACAGAGCCATGTGAGACATAAACGTCAAAGAACATGTCATGGTACCCGCTGAAAGGAAAATCATCCCAAACAACTTCTTCTGAAGCAAGCACTTACACACTACAGCCAGAAGACCGATTCCAAAGGGATTGGTTTGAAATCGTGCACGAAAATCAAGGTACGTTTTGAATGGAACAGGTCAAAGAGGGGGACTTACTCCCTGTACATGATGGTACAACAAACAGGAAATGTTTGGAAGGGATTTGCGAGGCGGAATGACATCAAGTCAGATATCTTGATTCCGAGCATCAAAGTTTCAGTACCAAGTTCTGTGACCATTTCAGATTTAACTCTCATGAAACAACGAGATGGTGAGAAATCACTCACGCATGTCGCACGACTGGGATTCGAGGAAGTGACGTCATCAATGCTTATCTAATTCAATTCATCGTAAAACAATATGATCTTCACTGAATCCTCCAGCTAGGCTACGATTGTCGCGGTCCCTCGGGACCTGGCAATCCAACCGTGACAGCAATCTACTGCTACTCTACTTCGCCTTTCAGGCAGGGCAAGACTGGGCGCCATAATTCATGGAATAACAACCCTTGCATCGCGGATTCGCGTTCAGCGATTCCTTGAATGTCTTCTCGTGAGAACTTAGTACCTCTATCTTACTATCCTCTTTCTCGTTCTCGTTCTCGTCCTCGTCCTCGTCCATTTCCTCGTCCTCGTCCGATCAGTTACCTCACACAGACAGCAGCTGCTCGCCTCCGCCATGCTGCCGCCGCAAGGCTCTACTCGCAGGTTTCAAAGTTTGACCATTCCCTGTCGGATATCAAAATTAAAAAATTACCGATGTAACGGTTCAACAAGTTTTGAAACGATTTCCGTTACAGTCGTTACATGTGTCCTGAAGAGACGTAAATTGTGAGGCGCAATTAGGGAGGCCGGGAGAACCCCTCCTTCGACACGACTTGTGTTACCTGAAGAGGGGTGGGTAGTGAAGCAAAATGGGCAGTAAAGGGACATGACGGGTGCGGGACGATAGAAGGGAGACAGAGGAGGAGGAGGAGGAGGAGGAGGAAAGCGAGCGAGACAGGTATCTGAAGGGGGGTGCCAAGGGAGCAAAAGAATGGATGGTTTCAGAGGATGAAAGAGAATTGAGTGTTGTGTTACCTGATTTCAAAAAGACCAAAATGTAGTCATGGGGAGATAGAGGGAAAAGATGACTGCGGATGAGCTAGTTCAACAAAATGTGGAAGACAAGTCGATTTGATTTGACTCAAGTCAGATTATGTAGAAGGAGCGCTAATTATTACATGAGATGATTGGATAATTGACGATGAATACTCAGCTTTCACTCACTTACTGATTACTCCTACAGGTACTGGAAGGGAATGATGATAACTCAGTGCATACTTGGATCCATGAAAGCCAGCGTTTGAGTTTTGAATCGGTCTTCACTTTTGAATCCAACTGATCATCCTCCTCCCAATTGTCAATGGAGTCTTGCGTTGAGGGGCTGAGCAATGGCATCCTGTCAGCAAGCCTCCAGTGAGCTGCTCTCTTTGTGCATGCAGCATGAGATGACGATGATTGCAGGGATCTTGTCTTGGACATTGGAGATATTGTGATCCTGGTGTGTATCCACCTAAAGGGTCCTTGTCGAACTGACGTGCGTATTTTCATGTCAGTTGGCAGTGACGGCCTTCACTCTGATCGCAATGGCATACACACACACGTATGTAGATGCGCAGTTCTTGTGCCTTCTCAATTGATCTCAGGTGCAGCTTGTTTTCAGAGGTTCACTTGGAAGCAGAAGAATTCTTTCTGGCGTTCAACGAGAGCGGGAGCTATCTCATGCTCTCAAGTGCAAGTGTATACCACAGACCCTTGCCCACCAACCAACCGTATCATGAGATGTGTATGCAACGAGGGTAACGACTTGGAGAGAACAACGTCATGTAAAATGTTTATCCTGTGTTATGACTGTATACTATCAAGTAATATCCATATAGATTGTTTTGTCCTTGCTAAATCATTATTACATTGGCATTCGAGTACAATGATTTACAATGCTGTCATGTTTGAATGACCTTGTGTGAGCTTGAAAGATAAAAGCCTGACGACAAGTGCAAACCACTTATGCCTGATATGATGTACGTCAATCGAACGAGGGTGAAAAGGACATGGCCGTACCGAAAGAGATCGGCATTCATGGTCGAGCATTTCCAGGCCTCGACAAGACATCCCAGCATCAGATGAAGAGCCTCCCTTGCAAACTGTCTGGCGTTCTTGCTGTCTGTCCCTTCCTCACCTGTCCTTGACCTCTCCAACCTCTCCTCCTGCGATGACCTGCTGTTATTGGAAACTCGATGAGAGTCGCTAGAAGGGCTGTCGTGTGTTCGATCCTGTTCGTGCCAACCTCTTGCACTTGACATGTCCTTGTCGCTTTCAATCACATTACAGAATTGCCAGGCGTATGCAAAAAACTGTGCTTTGTCCCGAATAGAAGAACTTAAAGTCGATTGTACTGCTTGGTTCCTTTCAACATAGTCCTTCGAATCGCGAGTCTCTGCTTCTTGCCGATATTCTGTTCGAAGAAACCACGAGCTCAGCAATGCATTGGCTGTTCAGGTGTGGATACCTTGCTTTGAGTTCATGATATCGTTCCTAGGCCTTTCTTTAGCTGAGTTCTGCTCTTGCTGACCACTTTCTCGCGCATCACTGTTGGACTGCAAGTGTATCAGCCGTTTCTGCCGGCACCATCTCATAAACACTTGAATCTGAACTTTGTATTTCCACTTGCTGTGTACAACTTTCTTCAATGCTTTGTAGAAACCCCAATTTCCCCGCCACCAATGCTCAGATTGAGATTTTACCACTGCCAGCCTGTACCGCCATGCTGCATAACGTCGATTGAGGGTAGGCCAACTCTGCAAAACCATCATGATTCATGCAAACCTCATATCCATAGTCCTCTCAGTCATAGACTACGACATCTTAAATCCCTCCCTTCATTGTCCCGATCATTTCCTTCTCCTCACTTCAGTCTCTTTCCAAATACCATTAATTGTGATTGTCCTCTCTTCCTCCTCCTCTATCCTCTCTTCCTCCCCCTCTATCTCTCTATCTCTCTCTCTCTCTCTCTCTCTCTCTCTCTCTCTCTCTCTCTCTCTCTCTCTCTCTCTCTCTCTCTCTCTCTCTCTCTCTCTCTCTCTCTCTCTCTCTCTCTCTCTCTCTCCCTCTCTCCCTCCCTCCCTCTCTCCCTCTCTCCCTCCCTCCTCGTCACCTCTTCATCGTCGTTATCGTCTTCGTCTTCGTCTGCCTCCATTGTGATTTTTCCGCCGTTTTCGCTAAAATAAATTCCCTTGACCATCCGTTACATAATAACATTTTATATTTTCAAAACATGTTGACAAAAGTTGAAATTAAAGACAAGAATAGGGTCACGTGGATATCCTCTTTTAAAAATTTGGTAGGTGACATTTCGTAGTCAATCCTCGTAAATTAAAAACTCCGTCATGGCCCCAAACAAACATGCCCTGACCTGCTCTTCCTGCTTCTGCTCCTCTTGCTCCTCCTCCTCCTCCTCAGCCTCTTCTCCTCCTCTCTGTACTATTCTTCCTTAGCTATCCCCTCCTTGAGGACCTCCGTTCCTCCTCCTCCTCTGCCTCTTCTCCTGCATGCTGTTTATCTCCACCTCCTGTCTTCTGTGACCACCTGCACACTTACCCCCTTCAAATCCGACCCACTCTTGTACCTTTCATGAATCGCTGCTTCGATTCCAACAACAATATCTCCATGTTGTTCTCCCAACAACACCTGCATATCATTCTCACTCTTTCCTACTGCAACTAGATAGCTCAATTATCTCCTGTCCATGCCCTCGTCCGAATTTTGTTTCTTCCACGAACCCTCCCTCCCCTCCCTCCCTCCCTCCTTCTCTCTCTTGTCTCTCACAGTGTTTCCAGCCACCAACAAGAAGCGGCAGGAGATGCAGGGAGATAGGTTGACTGCCCGCTGAGACCACCTATGGCCAAGATTGTCTTCCGAGATGCCTTCCGAAACTTTGAAAACGGTGATGACATGGCAAGAGCAACGGAGCGCAACTCACTCTCACCGTCAGGGAATGAAGCCATTGAGTCAGCAGCGCAAGACACCAGCACGCATGTCCGTTCACCTCGTTACCTCTCCTCTCGCCTTCTTCCTCACCATCTTCCTTACCCTTGCAGAGTCCCAGGCGTAACAGGCGAACTCCTTTGAACTTCGTCTCCCAGATTTCTCCCAATGGCGAGCATGGTAAGGATGAGAACTCTAGTGTGAGTGAGTTTGACCCTCCCCCCTACCTTCCTCCTTCACTAGAGTATTCCAACCGATGGAGGGTGACCGAGACGGTGGGCAACGAGCGGCATGTGTATCAAGTCTTCTTCAAGCTGCGTCTGCACTTGTTCTGCATCGAACAGATAGAGGCAAATAAGGGAACCAAGAACGACTCCGCGCCGATCGAGGTAGCGGGGTTTACTGCCAACGGACGGGTTCAGTGAAGGAGACTGCGCAGGAGATTTCAGTCATCGACATCGTCGATCGCGCTATCCTGAATCAGAACACGATGTCTCTCAAGGTCATGAAAGATCAAGGAGCTGTGGTGATCTTTCTTGTGGGGTAGCCGCAGCTGACTGAGCCGATCCTCCAGGATCATCGCAAGTTTGTCTTCATCGACAACAAGGATATGTCAGACTTTGCCTTTGCACTTCAGTCCCTGCAGCACGAGATGATGAGCCAAGGTCTGCAACTTTTCTGCTGATGGGCTGTGAGTGATTGGAGCATGCAGAGGGTTCGGGGCACCGGGTCTTCGACTCGTCGCAACGAAACGTGCTGGGGCAGTGGAAGAAGAATATTCTCAAGGTGCGGTTGCTACAAGATGAGGAGGATGGAAACTATGATGATCAAGTGGAGGAAAGGAGGAAAGGGTTGTAACGATGAGGAAAGGGTCGGGTGGGAGGAGAGAGGAGGGGAGGAGGTAGATTTAACGATGATGGTGAACGGAAAGATGATGATAGCGATTTTATGGTTCTTGGTATCAGGACAAGACGATGGTCAAGCGAAGGGACCCGAGGCTAATGACGAGGATACGGTCTGTGTGAGCGGAGGATGACAGAGCTTTGGGTCACGGGCCTGCAGGATCTGGTTCAAGACCGTCATGACGGTTGACAGAGATGACAACGCGCATGAGTTTCACCGGACGAGAGCCGAAGGTGCGGGAGAGGAGGAGGAAGTGTGCAAAGGGAAGACAGGGATCGAGGACGGGGAGCTGGTCTGGGAGTAACTCGAGGTTGAATAGGGTCTGCCATCCATCCCTCGTCTCAGTTCGCCCTCTACGTCATCCTCATCTCAGCTGCGTTTCTCAGCTACACCATTATCGTCACTCCCTTCGGGTCTCCCGAGACGCTGCAGGCGATGAAAGTGACCGTGAAGCAGGCTGGCGTTCCTGTGGGATACGGACCCCTGCCAGGTGAGAGGAGGAGAAGAGAAGCTAGACAGACAGACAGACAGACAGACAGACAGACGGACAGACAGACAGACAGACAGACAGACAGAGGAAAGGGAAGTCACAGAAAAATCGTGACGACATAACATAGAACCCCCTATTTGTGTGGGATCTGCTGGTGGACACGTACTTCATGATGGATATTTGCTTCAACTTCCTCATTGGAAGGTAAGGAAGACGCAAAGACAGCCTGATTCCTCCCCTCCCTCTCTCCCTCTCCCTCTCTCTCCCTCCCTCCCCTCCCTCCCTCCCTCTCCCTTCTCTCATCCTTGTTGCTCAGGTTTGTCGGTGGGGGCCTCGTGACCACGTTCCAAGGGATTGCGTGGGATTACTTCAGCTCGGGGCAGGTTGTGCAGAGGAGATGGGAGAGGAGGGAGGAGGTGGGAGAGTTCTTAGCAAGGAGTGAAGACCTGTAATGAAGGGGAGGGGACAGGAGGAGCAGCAGAAGGAGGGGATGTTGATGCTTGTTGCAGCTTACCTTCGATCTGGTGACCAGCATTCCTGTCTCATGGATTGAATTTTCAAGCAGGCACATCTCTTCTCCTCCCTCTCCCTGCTCTTCCATTCATTTTCCTCCTCTGATTTGCTTTCTCCTCCTCACTTCCTCTCCCCCTCCCTTTTCCATCTTCTCCTCCCGCACATTCTTTTCTCTTCTCCCTCTCCTGACCTCCCACACAGAGAGTGCGTGAATGGCGTGCAAGTCGCCAAAGCATCGAGTGACGGGACCTCGTTGAAGTTTGTGCGTTTGATCAAGGTGAGAGAATAAGAACCGCACTCCCTCTCCCTCTCCCTCTCCCTCTCCCTCTCCCCCTCCCTCTCCCTCTCCCTCTCCCTCTCCCTCTCCCTCTCCCTCTCCCTCTCCCTCTCCCTCTCCCGTCTTCCTTTTGCGCCTACCTCTACTCTTCCCTTTGCTCCTCCTGCAGCAGCTCCGCTCCTCCTCGACGTCACTTTCTCTCGTCTCCTCCTCCCTCTCATTCTCCTTGATAACCTTATGTGCATTGTATCAACAACCCTCTCGATGTGACTGACTTGTTGAAACAGCCGCTCAGACTGTTGAGATTGCTCCGGATGTTCAAACTGATGAATCACAAGGGTTTGAAAGTGCTGCAGGTGAGATGATGTATAAGTTATTGTTGTTGTTGTTGTTGTTGAGGAGGAGGAGGAGGAGGAGGAGAAAGAAGATGGTTGAGGAAGAGGGAGGCTGTGTTTGGTAAAGAGACGAAGGAGGGAGAAGGATGGTGATGGTGGTGCTGCACTTCACTTGTTTCTTGACTTTTCACAACATTGAATTCAAGCTTGTTGCTTGATCCCTCCCCTCCCCTCCTCTATCTTCTTGCTTCTCCTCTCCTCCTCTTCTTCTCTCTTCTCCTCTTCTCTTCACCCTCCCCTCCCCTTCTCTTCTTCCTCCTCTCCCCCTTTCCCTCCCCTCCGCTTCTTCCTCCTCTCCCCCTTCCCCTCCCCTCCTCTCTTACCCATTCTGACATCACACCATCATCCTAGGACTCTGTACACATCAACCCGGACATCATCCGACTCTTCAAGGTTTCGTCTCATGTCCAACAGAACAACAATCTGACAGCACCTCCTTGTAACCTTCAGCTCATGTTTGGCGTGATCATCATCGCTCACCTTGCCGCCTGCCTCTTCTGGCTTGTCAAGTTGCAGTCAAACACTCCTGAACTTCTCAACGAGTGGATGTACGCACAAGGATATGCGGTAGTTCACTATCAACTTCTCCTCTTCTTCATGAGTAGGAGGGGCAATGACGCTGGTGGTGGCGGCGGCGGCGATGATGATGATGATGATGATGATGGTGGTGGTGGTGGTGACAATCTCCTCCCCTTCTCCTCGGCTTCATTCTTGTCATCATTCCCTCCCCTTCCTCTTCCCTCTTATCCTCCTCCTCTCCCACTTTTCTGCCACCCCTTGGTGACTGACTTGAACCCATCAAGTATGGTTGGAACACCTGCAGCACATCCTCCTGCCATGTGAGATCCCTCTCCTCTCCCCTCCCCTCCCCTCCTCTCCTCCTCTCTCTCCTTCACCCTTCGCTCCGCTGCTCCTCTCCTCTCCTCCACTCTCCTCTCCTCTCCTCCACTCTCCTCTCCTCCACTCTCATCTCCTCGTAAAGTTGTCCACGATACTATCCTATC